TAAATAAAGGATACTCTGAAGCGTTCGGAGATGATGCTGAATAAAGGTACTTTTCTGGTTGTATTAGAATTGCATGAATTCTTCAGCTATAGGTGGTTTAACTGTACAAGAATGGACTGTTTCTTACTGTATGGTCCCCTTCAACCAAAATGGTTTGACCCATTACATGTTATGTCATTTTAATAACAGTATAATGGCATTTTAAAGTACTGTGACGGAGATGACAACAATTCAGGGACAAACTTTTTTAGTCTAAAAAAGTCAAATTTTAAGTATTTATAATACTATTGATGTCATTTTTAATTTTACATTTGTAAGACATCTATTGTATTCACCTTTTTGTGGTATAGTTATTTATTTAAGTAATTTATTTTACAAATTATGACATTAGGAATTTTTAAGAAACCCAATCGGGACATGCATAGTGCGCGACTTTGGAGGCTTTTTGTTGAAAAATAAACAGCATGTCGATTACATTTAAACTATTTAACAACTTATTCCATTAACAAATATGTTCAAGATTGCATTAACGCAATAAAAATAAAATTTCCTTTAATATTTTAAAATTTATACTACATTAAAACAGAGGGACTGGAAAATGGCACATTAGCGAAGAATGACCCTACTATTATGTGAAAATTAAAAACTTATGTATTAGACTGAATGTTTGCATAGTGTATAATTGCACTTTAAGTTTATTAAAAAGAGTGCACTGTTACCCAGGATTTTGGTTTCCAATGGAGAGGTTGGGGTTTAAGTTTAACAGCATTTATATTGGTACCTGGTTGTGTTGTATGCTACTGTACTGAATACTGCTGCAATACAGAACCTAGTGTTCTAAAGTATGTTGTTCAAATGACATCAGGGTAATACTGTGCATTGGAAGTGTACATTATCATTATTTAATTCAATCAATTTCTTACCTTGATTTAATATTTCAACTGATAGAAGCCAAAGGTGTACAGTACCTGTTGCTACCTGTGGGGTTTTTTCTGTAATGAGTAAGGTATCATAATTTAATTGTATCAAGAAGTACCAAGTCCAATGATAATCATTGAATTTTTGTGTTTGTTTTGTTGTCACACATTGATAGTAGCCCTAACAGAGTAGATAAACCTGGGTAGCTAATTGATAAGTTTCTTTTATATTTTTTATTCAAGTTCTTGTCTATTGATTTAGATTTGTCTGGCAGTAATCTGCCATTTTGTGTTCCAAGGCTGGCAATTTTGTTTCCATCTAGATTCAGTGAGCCATGGCAACATTCAAACAAAATCGATCCCTCCTGACCTTGTGACATAATCAACATTCATAAATTTTCAGTGATTCTTAATATGATATTTTAGAGTATGACCATGACGAATAAATTTAACTCCCAATAATGAGTCTAAGTTTAGTGTTGTGTTCTTTGGCTAACCAGGACATCCACGTAAAGTGACAAGTATGTTTCCATATATAATTATGTTGGACATCCTCAGTCAGGGAATCATGTCCTTCTGGTGACAGTAAGTTTTCTGCTTTTGCGTCTCCCGTGCATTGTTGCCAAATGAATGAATAAAAAAAAATATTAAAATACAGTAACTAAAAAATAAAATAAAATAAAATTTTAGTTTTGATGAAGCACTGGTAAAATCAATCAATTGTAAAGCTTACCGTAATATCACTATTAAATTTCCGTGCTTTTCATATATATGGACATGGTGATACATGTCACACCCATATGGTGTATGGCCAAATCATAGATACTTGTCACATGAAATTTAGTTGTAATAATAATAAAATAAATTTAATGTTATACTCTTGTTGCAACTCAGTTCTGAATGCATGTTGGATATAGAACATTTACAAGACTCATTGTAAGTAATCCACGGAATAAAATTTTACAAAGTTAATAGAAAAAATTAACATGTTAAAAACATGTAAAAATGTATATTTAAGAGTGGACAGAGCATTTGGCCTTACAACCAATTATTTTGTCTTTTGGATTGCTATTGTAAATGGATTTTTACTTGACCCAGAGTTCACCCAACTGGCCCATTTACAGGAAATAGGCGCAGATAATTAAATATTTCCCTTCCTATCCTTAAATTAAAAATGAAACATTGGCTTTAGTTGTGAACATATATCATTCCTGAAGCCACATAGGGATGATTTATGTTTGATCCTCTTTGTTTTTCATTTTTTCAGTTGGCAACTGTTTTAGTTGATGATTAATTGTATCATTATCCGTCCTTAACTTTTAAAATACAATCATATAAAGTTTTTACCTTAAATCAATTGTGTGCCGACTTGTAGAAGCAAAGGTGTACCGTTGCTGCTTTCCCTGTGATCAGTTGAATGTTTGCGTTTTCTGAAATTAGTTTGGCAATATGAAATGTTGAGATTTAAATGTGTCAAGAGGTACCAAGTCCAAAGCAAGGCACACAAAATGCATTGATTATTTTTTATGTAAATAGCTGATAGCTCTAACATGTGATAATAAATGAAGTGAATATTGTGACCCAAAGTCAAAATGGAAGACTAGTTTTAAGTACCACAGTACTAACACTATTCTTAATAGCAAAAGGCCTGGAAAAATGTGTTGTGTCTCCAAAAATGAAAACTGTCTTTAATAATAAAATACATTTAGCACCAAATGTTATCTGTACTTATTGCATCTTGAGTATTTCCCGCATGATTAAAATTGTAACGGTACTGGTTTGGTCCGATTCGATGTCGAATTATGAAAAGTGTAGGCTGTGGCACCGAGACCTCTGATGATTCGTGCCAAAAAATGTTTACAAAAAATGTAATGCAATAATCCCATTTTGACTACTATTTTAAATTTTCAGAAAATATTTCAGCTGCTCCAAATTTCTTTCCTATATTTTTCCTTCTTGATTTATTCTTTCACAATTTGCATTTATTCAGATATGGAAAAACATCACTCCTAATTCTTAACTTATTTAATATATTTTTTTGTTGGTAAACATTGAAGTCAGTCCCAGTGTTCTCCCGAAGCTGTTTTAGCTGTCAATTTTACCAGTAAAAATAACTGACCAAACAGTAAAAATTGTGTGTTGGTAGAATAAAAAAGCACATTATTAGGCCTAGGTTGACTAGGCTGCCCTTCTTTCAATAAACGAACATCATTCCTTTCCAGGCCTAAGCTATGATTATGTATTATTGTTTTTTTGAAGCCATTTAAATCCACTTAAAATTGGCAATATCTGAAGTTGTGCGCTCTTAGCTGGCTCTATATGGACAAATTTACCAGTAAAAATTTTTCAATTGGGAGAACACTGAGTCCCTCACTGGTTTCTTGACAAGTCTGAATAATGGGGAGGACTTGAGCACATTCAGTGATACAATGCTGACATTGTTCAAAGATTACCAAAAAGTGGACACTGGTATTAATGTAGTCAATTGATAGCATTGTTAAAATACATATCTAGGAGCAAAAGTGGAAAGCAGTTTAGACATCACCATCATAGTATTGGCTCAATCAGCAAGTAACCCCCAAATTCCCTATTCCTCCTGTACAAACGTGTTTTTTTTGTGACGTCACTAAAATATTCTGCAATCTCCTGGGGATGTTTTTTAGGGACATGTACTACAGACATATCAAAGTTTTTTGTAAATGCTTAATAATAATCACTAAATTTTGTATTTCTAATTATCATTTCATCATCACTTCTGATTTGTGTACTTTAATATATTCAATTATTTTTTATATTTAATAATTTGATTATATTCAATTTTGTTTTTGAGTTTCAGTTCCAATATAAAAAGTGATTTATATTCTGTTGAATACATGGTTGTTTCAGTGGCATTGAAGGCAAACAGTAAGTTACTATTGCAACAATATCACATGATATACCAAGCCAAGTAATGCTTTTATCTTAACACACTTACCCTTTGAAGAGCTAATGGATAGAACATCACAATTTTGTATATGATATTCATAATTTATGTAGCATTCCAGTACACGTGCTTTGCAGTAGTAATTTTCCCTACTTGCTCGTTAATATTTCAATTTTAAAGTTAATAATATTTACAAAATTTACTATTCCACATGGATTGAAGTGTTAAATTTTTGTTATAATATTTTCATTTTATTTTATTTTTTTATTTTTTTTGTTTTTGTTTTAATGTTTTTATTATTTAATAATAATAAATAACAGTAATTCTTTATTTGTCCTCATTCTGATTGGAAATTGGAAATTTGGGCTAGGCCCCTGGGGACCCACAGCAGCCTCAGTGCAGCATCACCCGAATTAACCACAAACATATAACAAACACTGTTATATGGTGTGTCCATAGCATGCCTAACTCTTAATACGAGGGTTATGTAAGGAGACAAGCAATCAGACTCCAGTTAAAACTCCACACGGGCCAGGTTTGAACCAGGATCTTCAGTAGAAGAAACAAATTATATTTTTATATTTGAAAAGCATATTTAAAATCATTTAACATTTAAAATCACAGCTATACAGGTCGTGATACCCAGTCCTGATTTTTTATTGCAGAAATTCATTCTCACTAGCTTTACTAGAAGTGTGCAAGAAAGAGATATTAAAAACCAAAGACATCCAAAAAATGCTGTGCAGTAAATAGATGTGTAAGTACATCAAACATATTACCCCGTTTGTTGTGTGTAGTGTTTTGGTGTTGAAGGTTCTTCTTGAATAAAAAAAATATTTTACCAGTATTCTCAACAACTATGTGTTTGTATTTTGAAATGAATTGTTTTTATTCATACATTAAATTTTATTTTGCATAGTCCTAAGTTAGGTTTTGTAACTTACTTCCATTCAAAGGTGAGACTCAATCTAAAGCATTCTCACAAATTCTCATCTTTTTTGGGTCACAAGTATCCAAGGGTAAGTACACTTTTACATGTGATGCGGTTATAAATATAATTATATTGTTACTGATAAATGCTTACATGAAAGTAAATGAATTTCTTAAAGACAAAATAATATTATTGATTATTGTTTAATAAAATATATGAAGTTAACAGTGTAGTGAAGTAAGCACACATACTGTAATTTATAAAAAAAATACTGAAGACTCAACCATAAATTTAAATACAGTTTTGTAATTTTATTAAAAATTACTTCTTAATAGATCCGTAAATCAACGGCAAATAAGCTTTATGAGACATTATTGATGTTTGATGATTTGACTCCAGAAGAAAATCAAGAAGAGATATTAACAATTCTGGGTGATACCATGTGGTGAGTTTATTTTAATTATTTATTTGAATCATGTACTACGAGAGAGTAACCCTTAAATACAATATAGTACTACATAATAAAGGAATGTATAGGTGTAATTTTACCCTACCTGACGTAGAAATGTACTGAATACTTAGTGCGTTTGAAAACAATTGCGAAAAAAATCGCAAGTTGTTCTCGGGTGGGTCTCGAACCCACGATCTCCAGATCACTATCCCGGAATCGTACCTCTAGACTGATGGCCAGGGTTGAATTCGAGTCCAAGTAAGCAGCGGGTACTGCAGTGTTGATAGTAATTGTTATTGTCGTGATGGAATAGACAATAACTGGATTTGTGTCAGGAGAAACATGTATATGTGTAATTTTGCCCTACCTGACGTGGAAATGTACTGAATACTCAGTACGTTTGAAAACAATTGTGAAAAAACCACCCGAAAACAACTTGAGATTTTTTCGCAATTGTTTTCAAACGTACCAAGTATTCAGTACATTTCCACGACAGCTAGGACGAAATCACACCTATACATGTTTCTCCTGACGCAAATCCAGTTATTGTTTATTCCATCACGACAATAACAATTACATAATAAAGAAAGTTATGATGATCATCATCATCTTCCTTTACTGTGCAGAATCTCTTTTGAGTATAGTCGCACATGTGGGTTGGTCACAATTGCTGCTGCTGAGCTTAATCTTATGTTCCATATTTTCAATTCTTTTGGTAATTATTCAAACATATTTTTAATTATTTTTAATTTGTACATTTTTTAAATATTTTAAATTTTAATTCTAATATCTTCGAGCAAGGTCAACTTCTGACACTCAGTTCATGAACTCCCCGAGTAATATTGACTCTACAGCATCATTGGGTAGTGAGTTCCACAGATGGATGGTGTCTGCAATAATAAACAATCCTTCTAGATCTGCTGTAACTAATATAACATTGGTTGGGGGCGGGTGCAAATCTCTCGCTGTACATTTTGCTTTTGTTCTTCGGGTATAATGGGTGTACCATTGTCACAAGTATTTTTCCTCCTACCAGTGAATTTGGTAAACTGTAGCTTTTCAACGAATAAAGTCCAGTACAATGTTCCCGACGGATATTTGGACCTGTTCAACCATGAAGCCTTCGTGGTCTAGTGGTTATAACGCTCGCCTTGTCAGCGAGAGGTCGCAAGTTTTGAATCCCGTTGGAGGCATTTTATTACACAATGACTTTATAGGACTTTATTCGTTGAAAGCTACAAGGTTATTTAACAGTGTTAACGGCTAACTTCCTTCAATAT